TATCTATCTATCTATCTATCTATCTATCTATCTATCTATCTATCTATATTTAAACAGGTTATTTGATTAAGAACCCATTCTCATTTACAATAACATCCTGGACAAGAGGCAGTAATGGAGGGCAAATTGCAGAGGGCTTGAGTAGTAAATTTTTTACATTTCCGAGGGCAACCAACCCCAAACAATGCTTTAACATTAAACTTTAAGGGGGTTGTTTTGTTGCTACAACTGTTTTATCATTGTCTGTTTTTAGTGATTGTAGTATCCTACATCATCTTACAACCTAACTGTTTTTTCTTCTTCATTTTTTTAAGACCATTTTCTTTTCATTTATTCTCCTCACATTATATGCTTTATTTTATGATTGTCTACTGTTGTCTTTGTTGTCTACTCTTGTCATCATTCTTTGTTAAAATCAGGTCTCTCTTGTAAATGAGTACCTGAGGCTCAGTGGAATCAACTTGTTTGTGGTTAAACGTTGGGTGATTGTCCTACTCAGAGCTACAAAACCATCTATGTCAATATGTTTTTTTTCTTCTAATTGTGATAGGGTTTATAACACTGATACAACATCAACAAACTCACAACATCAACAAACTCACCTGAGACTTCTTTAATCACTTTAAGCTGGTTGTGCTTTTAATCTCACCTCATAACCATTTTTTAAATTAAAGATCTCCTAAATGTGTTCTAATACAGACATGTAGCTTACGGTGCATTAACATGCTCAGAAAATCAGCAGGATGTGTTTTTACTTACAGGATCTTTCAACTGATCTGAATGACCAAACATGCTAAACATATACAAGTTATGTACCGTGGAAAGTAGGGGAACATTTTTAAACACAAAAACAGAAATTGAGAAGTTTAGTTTGTTGTTGCAGCTGAAGTTCTGAGATTTTTAGTCCAAATCTTTGTGCCATGAAACCAGCCAGGATCTTGTTTAATATTTTACCTTAGAATTTATCACGTTCTGACCTGCATAATTTTGTGTTTTTTATTCTTAAATTTGTTTTTAACAGTTCATCTTTGCTTTCCGTTTTACTGCTCTGCTTCTTATTCCATATCTATATTTCTTTTCTTTTCAAAATGTGTTACTTGGTTTGTTTTTTATGTCTTTTACACATTTTTCAATATTCTTCCTGCTTTGTGCCGTTCCTTCAGTATATATAGTCCCAGATTTCCAGTTTCTTCTTGTCAGATCCTTGTCTTTGTTCAGTTGTGTGTTCACTTCACGTTCCTTTTGTTTTGCTTGGAGAAAACTTTTCACCTTGGATTTGCTGCTTTCATGCAGAACCTTTGTTTAAAATAAAGTTTATATTTCACTTTTTATGCCTGTGTCTCGTTCCTGGTCGTATACTGAACAAAAATATAAATGCAACACTTTGGTTTTGCTCCCATTTTTCATGAACTGAACTCAAAGATCTAAGACTTCTTCTATGCACACAAAAGGCCCTTTTCTCTTCAATATTGTTCACAAATTTGTGTAAATCTCTGTTGGTGAGCACTTCTCTTTTGCTGATTTAATCCATCCACCTCACAGACGTGGCATATCAAGATGCTGATTAGAAAGTATAATTATTGCACAGGTGTGTCTTAGGCTGGCCACATTCAATTTTTTTTCTTCCCATCATCATTCCAACACTCACTTTTTTTTAGAAACACAAAATTAGACAATATAAGCACGATTGCAGACATACTAGCCATTTCGATCCACACTGCATACCAGTAGGTGGTGGTAATGTACACCTTCCAATGTTTGCAAAACACCATAAAACACCATTAAGAAAAAGAAGAAGACAAAGATCATTCCAACACAGCACGAGGTGGGGTCATACCCAGGACATCTAATGGTGTTTTATGGGGCATGGAGAAGTTCAGCAAACCTGTTTGGTCCTTAGGGGCTCTGTGGATTATGCTTGTTTTAATCTAGAAAATCCTATGGATTCTCAACCAGATTAGGGTCTGTAAAGTTTGGAGGTTTGGTCTTCTGTAGTTCTGGATGACACTGTGTCTACCAGAAGACATCTGTTGTACCTTAATACTATGATGTGGAGAAAACCCATCCATCCATCTATCCATCCATTCATTATCTACCGCTTGTTCCAAAGTCAAGTCACGGGGACAGCATATTGAGCGGGAGGCCCAGACATCTCTTTCCACAGCCACCTCTTCCAGTTCTTCTGGGAGGACCCCAAGGCATTCCCAGGCCAACTGAAAGATAGTCTCTCCAGCGTGTCCTGGGTCTTACTCCCAGTCAGACATGCCTGATGCACCTCCATAGGGAGGCACCCAGGGGGCATCCTTACCAGATGCCCAAACCACCTCAACTGGTTCCTCTATGTGGAGGAGCAGCGATTCTAATCCGAGTCTCTCCCAGATATCTGAATTTTTCACCCTATCTCTAAAGGAGAGTCCATCTACCCTGTGGAGGAAACTCATTTCAACCGCCTGTATACGATGTTGTTCTTTCAGTCACTACCCAGAGCTTGTGACCATAGGTGAGGGTAGGAACATAGACTGACCGATAAACAGAGAGCTTTGCCTTACAGCTCAGCTCTCTCTTCACCACAATGGACCGGTACAGAGTCAGCGATACTGCACCAGTCCGTCTGTCAATCTCACGCTCCATTCTTCCCTCACTCGTGAACAAAACCCCAAAATACTTGAACTCTTCCACTCGAGGCAGAACCTTACCCTCAACCTGAAGAGAGCAATCCACCCTTTTCCGGTTGAGGACCATGGTCTCAGATTTGGAGGTGCTGATTCTCGTCCCATCTCATGGAGAAAACACGTTTCACAAACTGGTTCTGAGACATGGTTGCAAAAATAAGCCCAATCAAATGACCATGTCCCTAAACAATGTGAGCAATCAAAAATGAAGCCATCATGCTGGAACCAAAAGAGGTGTGGTTTACAACCCAGTGGTGTTTACATGAGGCACCACTCAAAATGTGTGAACTATATGGCTGTCTTACTGCCTCACCTGGCAGATCAGATGTGTAACAGTGGAAGGTTGACTTCATCTCCACTCATCAATCCTTACATAATTCACACTTGAACAGGAAGTCATCAGGTTTTAAAGGGCTTTGTGTAAGTTTAAACAAATATAAGCAGAGGAGCAATTTCAGCGCCAATTACACCTCTACATTTACACAACACCAAGGCACAACTTATCATGTCTAGCTTGAGCGCTGAGTAAAAATAAGTTACAAACTACTGTTACCTTGTGTGTGGGGTGTTTGATATGCAATAGTGTTTGAGTGGGTGGTACATGTCAGTGGGTTTGCTGGTTCCTTTGTTTTGCAACTTACCATTGCACATATTCAAGTCCAAGATTACTTCTCTGTTTGCTGTGTTTGTGTCTAACTCCTGTTTCACAGAAAGATGATGTGTTCAC